TTACTTGCTACTATTAAAAGATTTATTGCTACACGTCGAAAATGTAATACCTATAATGTCAGATAACGGTACTAATATGCTTGGTGAAAATGGTTGGTGCAAAATCAGAACTAAAAAAATTGCATAGATTAGTCTTTAAATCTAATTCTGACATAGCAGATTTCTTAACATCTGAAGGATATAAACTTGGAAACTAATTCCACCTAGAGCACCAAATTTCGGTGGTTTATGGGAAGCAGGTATTAAGTCATTTAAATACCATCTTCAGCGTACAATCAGCAGTTATAAATTAACTTTAGAAGAATTGTGGAACTATTGTCACCACAGATAGAAGGTATTCTCAATTCTCGTCCAATTTTACCCTTATCAACAGATGCAAATGACTTTGATGAAGCCTTAACGCCGGGTCATTTTCTTAATTGGACGTTCCATTACTTCATATCCTGAACAGATTTGTCTCATCTTACAGATAATAGACTTTCTAAATGGCAAATTATTACCAAGTTCATTCAAGTTATTTGGAAACGTTGGCAAACTGATTATTTAAATCATCTACAACAACGCACCAAATGGTTATTAATAAAGAAAATTTAAAGGCAGGTATGTTATATTGTGTTAAAGAAGATAATCTTCCTCCATTTAAATGGTCTTTAGCTAGAATTCTAGAAGTTTTACCTGGTAAAGATAATAAGGCCAGAGTTGTTAAAGTGAAAACATCAAATGGTGTGTATATTCGATGTATTAGTAAAATTTGTTTATTACCTATCCAGGATAATAATGCTTAGCTTACATTATTATGTTCTTATTGAAAATTGTGCTTTACATTAAAATGGAACTGTTTAAAGAATAAGTTCGATTGTAGAATAGTGAATGTTTATGTTTTAAAATGTTGCATTTTTATATTTATCATGATGAAATTATCATCACTTTCATATGTGTGTAGAATGTTTTCTTGATTGTAATGAAGTTATAATTGTATGTTGAAATGTATTCACGGGCGCGTAGTTAGTTAGAATACAAGTACAATTAATACAGTCTTGCTGCATTATATGAAAAGATACTTTATGATAATACACACCCACACTGAAATCGCAAATTTGCTGTTGACTTTGAAGAGCATTTGTGAATTCATTGTCCACTTACAGCAAGGGTGTTTGTGCATTTTAACATTTATAACATAACAGTTTGCTTATTATTTTACATTCTTTTTTTCCCACTGAAGAATGCTCTCCTCATGTACACAGTGATCTGTTTTCCCCTTAAACAGAGATTAAACACAAACTCGGCATTGCACATAACTTCAGCACTTGTGTATCAACCCTGATCACAGCTGCCTAAGAACTGTTGCAACTTCAACGTACACTCCAAAGAAATACACCAATGTAATAAAAATCCACAGTTTCATTATGAATCATCACAATAAAAACAAATGTACTCAATGGAAACTATACTAATCAGAAAAGTAAACACTGACAAAACTACAAATCCTTGTGTATTCAAACACACATGTGCTACTCACATACCCGAGTTGCCATATAAATACATAAATATTTTCAGACAACATCGTCAGATGCCATAAATATTTTTTTATAGTATATATATTGCCTCATTAATTCTCTTTAGTGGATTTTTGGTAGTTTAGTTAGAATACATGCTATTGGATAAGTAGAGAAACTCTCATTGCCATCATAAGCAACATGCCAGAATTAGATCTGAATAGTTAATTACTGTAAATAAATTAGTTAGTTCATTTGCTATACAGTCCACTTATTAGTTTAGAATCATAGTACAGGTAGAAAGTGCAGATAATCAGAAAGTACTTATGAAAGTTTCACAAAAAACATGCTGCAAGTACAGAAACCTTAATCAGGAAAAATTTATGCATTAGCATATTTTAGCAGAAAAAAATATGGTCAAATAATGTACATTTTGGACTTGGGCCATTCAATAGGGAAGACCTGACCATTTAATGTTTCCAAATCAAGAAATCAATATTATTATACAATTTTCTGACTGAAATAATGAAATTCTAAAGCTTCAGAAAGAAGATAAAAAAATTTATAGCCCTTACCAGTAAAAGCACCCTGAGCCAAATTTTCAACAGTTCTTGTGGCTGTAAAAAATATAAACATATTACAAAATCCTTTTTTTTTTTTTACTTGATACATTAAGAAATTCATAAATAATTATAATCTCTAAAGTTTCTAAAATAGTCAAAAAGAACAAAAGCTAAAAAAAAAAAAAAAAAAGATATAAACTATTAATCTTTTAACAGTTTAGCTTATCATAAGCCCTCTGTAAAATTGCCTTCTTCTTTTAATTTTTAACACACTAAGCTGACATGGATGTTATTACCGATATAATAAAGAATATATTTAAAATAATAAATGAAATACAATACAGAAAAAAATTAAACAATACAAGCTGAAACTAGCTCTGTATTACTAAAAATAAAATTCATGTTCCAACAGATGGTTGGCTGATCAACCATGGAACATGGATGATTTAGCATCCATGATTTTAGGTACACAAAACATAGCACCCCCAAAAAATCATAAAAACACAAACCAAAAGTAAACTGCCAAAACATAATACATAAATAATTATGCACAGATATAGTTTTAAAGAAAAGATTTCTTTGAAGCAAAAAAAAAAGGTGGAACAAAATTTTGCAAAATGAACTGTAGCACAATGAAATGAATGTACATTAAAGACATTAATTTATTGCAAAAATTAGCGAAGTAAATAATTACACATATATATTGAAACATATATTTATCAATAAGAAATATTATCAAACAGTGGACTTATTTTATCACACTACAAGACAAGCAAGTAAAAAGTGCATTACAGAGTGCAAAGAATGATTATTAAATTATTTTAAACACAATGATAATCTCTTACAATATAATTAAAGTAATTCCAATCCATTAAAATGTTCTTTTGTTTTTCTTAAAACCTCGTGAAGTTTTTGACAAATAAGAAAAAAATCCACAAAAAAAAAGATTTATTAAGTTTATAGTGGCTGAAATTATAAAATAGTACCAATTACCAAATTGAACATGATTAGAAGTACGGGCAAAATTAAGTGAGTGAGGTTTTTGGCGCAAAACCAAAGATGATTATAACATGCCAAACACAAGGTGGGATGATCGAAACTGATGAGATTAAAATACAATAAATAAAAAACAGGTGAACAAATGTACAAAATCCAGAGAGATGATGAAGTCATATAAAAACAAGGTAAAAGCACACATTAAAATTCAAGACACAATGTTCACAACAAATTACATTAGGTAATAAAAGCCAGTCTCTTCTAAATAATAAAATTAATTACAATTGAACCTCTCTTCCGATTAAACAGTCACAGCTATTAAAATATTTCTGACGAAGACTATTAAAACATAGACACTCGATTAAAATATGACGGACAGATACACAAACATTACAATTTAAACAAATAGGCTCATTTTCAGCTTTCAGAAGATAGTTATGGGTCACTCTAGTGTGACCAATTCTGAGGTGAGTCAAAAGAACTTTCTCCTTACGATTTCCAGCAAAATACCAATGCTCAATTCTAGGCTTTACATTTTTTAACTTGTTACGAAGCTGAACATCCCAAATTTGCTGCCATTTTTTTTTTCAGATCTTCCCCTTGATGACACAGCAGATGTCTCTAAAAGGGATAAGGTGACTGGACAGTTCAACAGCAGATGTTGCTACAATATCTGCAAGCTCATTTCCCTTTATTCCCGGGAACCCAGCAGTACAGGATTTCATATCCTCGAATCGTTTATATGAAAATCGACATAATCTATATTGCACAGAGTTAGTTCAGATGTTAAGACAGAAAAGCATGGTGCAAGCGTCTGCCCTCAATGTGATCTTCAATAAACAAATGCCATCCCGGACATGATCTTTTGACTTGGATCCATCTGTATATAGTGGAAGAAACTGCTATATTTATGCCTGTGGTCAGCAAAAGTTGTGTGTAAACGATGTCGTTAGCACTTGCCTTCACGTGATGATTGAAAAAATTTAAGAAGCTGGATCCGTGCATTTTCCAAAGGTGGGATTTCTAAATTCTGCACTGCTTGGGGACACATATCAGACAGGGAGAGTTCCTCAATGATAGGGTGTGCTGTTAAAGGAAAGGTATGATGGACATGATGGACGTGTTTCAAATAAAGTGCTACACACATTATCAAGGAAGCACAACTTGTTAGGTTGTTCAGGTTGCGATAAAATATTAAAATACTGCAAAAGGGATAATTGCTCATGCCTCAGATAAAGTGATGGTTTGTTACAGTCAACATACAGACTCTGGACAGGAGAAGTCCTGAGAGCTCCTGAACAAATATCCGCAGAGCTTGATGGTGAACAGAATCTAGTTTTAACAATACTGATGACAGAGCGGATCCGTAAACAACTGAGCCATAGTCCAGTCTAGAGCAGACAAGTGCTCTGTAAAGGCGAAGCATACAGCAACGCTCTGCACCCCAGGAGGTGTTCGCCAACACTTTCAAAATATTTAGTGTTTTCAAACACTTCTTTCTCAAATTTAAAACATGAGAAAGGAAAGTCAATTTTTGGTCGAACGTCACTCCTAAAAATTTTACTTCAGGCACAACTGGAATAATCGTATCGTTCAGATATAACTAAGGCACAGGATGGAGACCTCACTTCCTACAAAAGTGCACGCACAAAGTTTTCTGTTTCGAAAATGTAAATCCCTGTTTGTCTGACCATTCTTGGATCTTATTTAGAGCCATTTGTAATTGCCTCTCTACGTATTTCATGTCTGCCCCTCGACAGCTAATCTGTAAATCATCAACATATAGAGATCCCAAGATGGTGGGAGGAAGTTCTTTTAATACACAGTTTATTTTTAAAATGAACAGGGTTACACTAAGCACACAGCCTTGAGGCACACCCTCTTCCTGTTCAAAAACATCTGACAAAACACAGCCAATCCTTACTGGAAACGTTCTAATGTTCAAGAAATTCTGAATGAAAATTGATAGGTTGCTGCGCAAGCCACTCTTGTGAAGTTCCCGAAGTATACTGTATCTCCATGCCTTACCATAAGCTTTTTCAATGTCAAAGAATACCGAGACTAGGTGACTTCTTCTTACAAAAGCTTTCGAATGGATGTCTCTAAAGAAGCATAATCTACTATTTCTGACGAAGACTATTAAAACATAGACACTCGATTAAAATATGACAGACAGATACACAAACATTACAATTTAAACAAATAGGCTCATTTCAGCTTTAGAAGATAGTTATGTGTCACTCTAGTGTGACCAATTCTGAGGTCGTTTTCCCCTTTCGAAACCGCTTTGATAAGGCGATAGAATATTATTCTTTTCCAAGAAGTAGACTAGGCGGCTGTTTACCCTTTTTTCAAACAGCTTACATATGCAACTCGTAAGGGTTAATTGGCCGATAGTTGGAGGGATTTCTTGGATCTTTCCCTGGCTTAGCAATAGGAATTAAGACAGAAAAGAAAGCATAATTTATCCTTGACATTGCCCCCCCTAAAAAAAAGGCCCTTTTAAGGGCCAAAAAATATACCAAAAAGAAAATGCTTATTGCTTGAATTAAAAAGAGGCGACACATGTACAATTGTGTATTTTTCTGTTTCTTTATCAACAGCTCTCCTCCATGCACTGGGAAAAGTATGCTCCTTCCACACTTTATTGTAAAGAATGAGAAGGGCAATCAGTGAGTTATAGCACAGATGCTTTAGCATTTCATAATTCATGCCATCAAGACCCGGAGAAGACCTATGTCTCTGCAACAAAGCTCTTCCTTAATTCAAGCAAAGTAAAGTCTCTATTATAAGACTCAGATTTGAAAGAGTTGAATGCGATGGAATTTCTTTCAGAGCACGCTGGATGAGAGAAATGCATGCAGGTGAATAGTTTCTCTGGAAGAAATGGCAGCAAATGTCTCACCAATAGTATTCGCAATTTCTTCTATGTAGCTAATCACTCGGCCATCTTTTCCAAAAAGGAAAGTGAGTGGTCTTTATATATTCTGCATGGTTTTTGAACTCTTTCCCAAACAAACCCGCTTACTAGGCATAGAGGATGTTATTGATGACATATATGAAATCCAAGAATTCCTTTGGCTCTGCCTTCTTACTTTTTTCATGCATTTGCTTTGGCTCTTTTTAAATGCTATGAGGTTTCGCAGAGTAGGATATCTACGAAAAATTCCCTATGCTTTTTTCTGTTTTTTCAGTGCTTCGTGACAGTCGCGATTCCACCATGGTTTCAAATATTTTAGTATTTTTTCTGATGTTCTAGGAATGGAAAGCATAGCTGCCTGAATAATAGTATTAGTAACAGCTTCAACAACATCATCGATATGCACATCTTCTACCATTTCATCTGTAACCTCTGCAACAGAAGAGGAGTTCCCAGTCTGCCCTATCGAATATGAACTGAGAAGATCTCGATATGTGGTTTGCTTCTCTTTGTGCAAGAGATACTAAAATAGGATAGTGATCGCTGTTGTAAAGATCATTTCCCCCCTTTAAAAGTGCAAAATGGCAACAGAGATGGTGAACAGATGGCAAGGTCGATGGCATGGAATGTCCTTGAAGGCTCATGGAAGAAAGTAAGTATCCTGCCCACTATTGAAAAAGATACTCACATCCTCATTGCTCTAGAGTTCTAGCCCCCAGCATAGGCGTTAAATACATTCTAAGGTCAGCGTCCATAACTTTATTGCTGTCAGTGCATTAGCAATACAAGAACACGACATACCACTGGGAAATTTTTGCCAGGTACCCATTACTTCAGAATGCATATCATAGGTCTCTGAGACTGCTATGAGACCCTAGACTATTGCATATGATGGGATCAATGACATATAAAATTTTCATATGAATCCCCTCTGTAGCACCATGATGCCATCCAACGGTAGAACAGGGACAGACAGAGTAAGTCCCACATTACATATTACATATCAGAGTACCATACCAATCCATCATCTAGCATTATGGTATAAGATGCCACTGGTTTCCAATTCTCACTGCACCGGATAACCACCATTACATATCTGAAGTGTAGCAGCCTGTTGTTCTTTCTCAGGCCATGCATT